TGGGTTGTTACCAACATCTGGTGAAAATTTCATGTCATTAGCCCCTCTAGTAATATATTTACTGAGAAAAATGGTGACGTGTTCAATACTTATTTTACCCGCTGTATATCAGTTTAATCACAAGTTTAATCATTTTTAATACTACTTAGTTTTATGTTTTATGATATAGTAAGTCAGCATGTGTTTTTAAAGAAAGTAGCTTGGTGTTTCAAAGAGCAGAAAATGAAACAACGTTTCACTCTATGAAACCTAATTTCATTTATATATAGATTTTTTTAAAGCAAGTACGAGAAAATGTTCAAAAAAAATTTTTTTTGATATTTCCTTCTAAGGGAAAAAGCTTTCTCCCATTTTCATCTTAGTTGTCAGAAAAAAAGACAGACTACCGTGTTCAGATGGGTGATGATTACTTATTGATTTCTTACCAGTTTGGCATAACCCCTGTGGTCCAATATAAGGTTCTCTGGTTTCAGGTCTCGGTAGATGATACCTTTGGAATGCAGATAAGCAAAGGCCTCCACCACACAAGCTGTGTAAAATCTGGTGGTTGAGTCTTCAAAAGAGCCCCTGGAAACACGGCAGGACAACCGAGTGGAACGGTGAATAAAACGAGGGACGATGCAGAGCGATAGTGAATTTGATTTGCTCAAGGTTTCAGRTTATAATTTATTAAACACATGAACTCTATATTTGTGCAACTAAAATTGGCTTTATTAGATCTGCTGTCACAGTGCTTACCGGTCTCGAAGGATGGTCCACAGTTCTCCTCCTAAACAAGCTTCCATCAACATGTAGAGGTATTTACTGTCTTTGAAGGTTCTATATAGTCTAAAAAAAAAAAAAAAAAGTTTATTCCAAACAGCCATAAATGCTATAAATATCTAACATTTGGATAGTGGACTAACAAACATTGGGTTAAAAATAAAACAGTATTTCTTCATTTTTTTTACATATTTGAACAACCTTTTCCAGGGATTTTATTGTCATGTATAAATAACATCTTCTTTTTATCTTTTAAATGTATGAATCAAGCCACATCATCCTTTATATTCTGCATTTGTCATAATGTAATAAACCCCCACCAAAAAAAAATAAATAAAAATTTATGTTGGTCCATACCATTTTCCTTTGGTTTCATTTGAATTACTAATATCTTTATTAGATTTTTTTTTCTTTTTTTATGGCACATGCTTTGGCAAATATTTGTTCCAGACACTGCTTTCTCCTAGGCTCCATCAAACTTTATCTTATCAGCTAAAGAAAATATTTATATATATTGTATATTTTCATATGGATARATCAAAAGCACTTTATATGAATTATATATGAGTATTGAACCAGGTTTTGGGAAGTGCATCTCTCCCCCAAATTTCARTACTGCTGCAGCTTGATTTTGGCTCCCAAATAGTAGCGTGCTGATGCTTATGAAGTGTCTCGTCTTTGAGGTTTCTGGTATCGTGCGTGTTCAGGCAGTTCCTCGCCAAGTCAGGACAGCCTAAACTAGACACATACCAAGCCCAAATTAAGAAATCTGCAGCATACAAATGCCTTTTCATAACTAGGATTATGCAGTTAGCCTTTTATTGAAATTGCATAATTTGCTTTGCTATAATGATCATAAAAATGAATTTAATTGCAGGTTTTGTTTAATTGTTTTAGGAAACCTTTACTAACAAGCTCTTGCTCAGTCAACCCCACAGATAAAACTTTTGTAATTAAACACAGGTACTCCTGGCTCCAAGTTAATAAAGCAAAGATCTTCAAGAAATGTCAAGCATAAAAAAAATATATATGATCCATGTGGCCTTTTTAACAGCTGTTCAGGGTGTGTACCTAACAATAAAGTCAGAGTGGGCCTCTTGCATGATGAGCTTCTCTGAACGAATGTGCTCCTGCTGTCTCGTGTCAACAATGTGCCGCTTCTTCAGGATCTTCATGGCGAAGGTCTTGTTCTCGTCGCTTTTGAGTTGAACCTGAGGAAGAAGTGGAGAAGTCGGAATAAAAACCTGCTTCATAACACCCTCCACAGTTTGACAAACAGTTTTTGTTCCTTTTCAATGCTGCATTTGCTGTGTCCCGTACCAACTCAACACGTCCAAAACCACCAACCCCCAGGGTGTCGATGATGTTAAAGTCAGCCAGGTTGAGACTGAAGAAAAACGCGTTCTCTGCCTCATACCTAAGAAAAACATGGGAAAAAGATTAGAGACAAGATGAAGGATGAAAGAACACATAATCCACTTTCAACAACCTGAGAAAAAAAAATATCCGTTTTTCCCTGAGCTCATTTGTTTGCAAATCTTAGGGGGATTTAGATCCCAGTAATCTATCAAGGATGTTTTTGAGGATGTGGAGTGTATAAATGCTAACACATGAACAGGAAGTATTTGAGTGGAGTCCCCTGGCAAATTGTCCTGACCCCCTGTTTGAACACAGACTAACTGTCCCCGGCCCTGTCCCCTTTTTTCTTGACAAGAAAGAACAAAAACGGGCCGGCAGACACACGGGCCGCTCACTCCTCAGTTGGCTGTGAAGACATGCCTTGGCTCTGCCCCCTGAACACTGAACACCACAATATGCAACTGCTGACCCGCCGCCGCATGCTGGCGGCAGAGATTGTTTCCACGTGTCCATCGCATATCCCCAGATGGCCCCTGTCTTTTCTGGGGCTTGTTCGATCCAGACAGAGTTTCATCAGCTCAGCCTCTGGATCACTGAGCTCAGGACAGATCTGAGACTGGAGGCCTTTTAGGCTCCTTCAAACTTCACAATCAGATTTTTCTTTTTTCTTTTCTTTTCATGAATACAGTTTGACTGCATGTTATAAAATATCTACTAAAGCAGAGTTGTAAAGTACCTAAGTATAAATACTTCTTTACTGTACTTAAGTACAATTTTTGGGTATGTGCTTTACTTGAGTAATTATTTTTCAGCCTACTTTTTACTTCTACTTCTTACATTTT